TTTGATCGTTCGCCCATTCAATTGCCTATCTGTAGCTCCGTTTATTCGTTAGTCCGTTTACTTTTTATACCCGCGATAGCCTACCTATGTTCCACGCTTCCGGCGGAAAAGGACATGAACGCTGAGGGAGTAATAAACCGTCGGGAGTCTTTGTTCCTGTATTTCTTTTGTTAGCAGTGGGAGCGTGGGAGGCAAGGAGAGCGCGGAAGGTAGTGGGAGTGCGGAAGGAGATTGGATAGTCTTTTAGGAGTCTATTGTTTGTTTTCTTTTGTTAGCATGAGAACACACAGGATGGGGTGGGGGGCGCTAGAGATACCAGTATGGGTGACTGAAGGAAGGATAGGTGATCTTTGACGTTTATCTATACTCCTGCCTTCTCCTATCAGTTAGTTGAGCCGTGAGTCCGAGCAAGTTGTCGAGCAAGCGAGTTGTTGAGAGAGTCTTGGAGAGTGTTGTCTTTAGAGAAAGAGAAACGGAGAGAGCAAATTTTTCATACCCCGGTTAGTTAGTGCCGAATATGTTATTGAATACCCCTCTTTTGGCTGCCGCCTGAAGCCTTGGCGTTTCATTTCGGCAAAGTGATAGTCTGTGATCGCACGCCCCCCCCGGTAACGGTTATCGTTGATTTTACTGCTCTGGAAAGTTATCGTTTCTAGTACGTAGATGGTATAATTAGCGGTTTGAAAGTTCTGGTTGCGACCAGAGGGACTGTCGTCGGCCCGACCGTGATTACAATGCTTAGCGAGTGATATCCTATGTCCACCCTCAAATGCAGGCTCGAGCCCTATCCCTTGGGCGGTGTGAAACAGTAAAATTCGTTGCCAGCTACGCTATTCCTAATACTGAGGAAACTATACCATAAAAAGAATAGCTAGAATGTAAGATGGCAACGTCAGCGCTTCAGCAATCGCTCTTCAGTTTGAGGGAGGATTGGAGCCCACGAAACACTAAATCCATACCATGCTATATTCAAAGAAAGTACGAAGTCCTCTCGCTTCTCTCTCGATTAATTCCTCTCTGAAGGCTAGGGCTGGTCGAAGAAAAGAGGAACAGCCAAAATGCGCGGTCGTCAAGAAGAACGAGCAAAAAGAACCGGTTATCCGACAACCATATGTGCCACTTGCTCCCCGTATTGACCATATGGCACAACCACTGCTACCTTGGGAGAGCTCGGTGGAGCAGGCTACTGCCTTGGCTATATTCAAGTTGTTTTGGGACCAGGAGGTTGTGAGTGTATTGGTTAAGGGAACCAATTTGTATGCGGATGAGAAGGGGGTACGACAAGGAAGCCGGACACCTGAAGGACGGCGTCTCTGGGGTCGGCCATGGAAGAAAGTGACCGAGGCCGAAATGAGAGTGTTTTTAGCACTTTTGCTCTATATGGGAGCGAAGAGGGAATGTGGGAGTAGTCAGTTTTGGAAGAGGAGGAGAGAAAGTCAGCGTATCTTTAGTGCGATGAGTTTGGAACGGTTTAGTCAGATCAAACGATATCTCCATATTTCTGACCCAGTGATACAGCTATCCCGTTCAGAGTGGTTTGAAAAACTGGAGCCCCTCGATACTATGATTCAGTCTCGCTGTCAAAAATTCTATTTACCAGCGTCTAATGTTACGGTAGACGAAATGATGATACGATTTGGCGGTCGCAGTCACCATACCTATCGAATGCCCAGCAAACCAATCACCGAGGGGTATAAGGTTTTTGCTTTATGCGATATAGGATACACCTATAGCTGGATTTTTGCTTCTCGATCGGACTTTTTTGCAGGATTGGTCTTGCAGGAAGACCTAACTCCGACTGGCTCAACTGTGTTTCAGCTTGCGTCCAGTCTACCATATACTTCTGGACTACATTTTAATATATATATAGACAACTATTTCCCCTCACTACCTCTAATGGTAAAGCTTAGGGATTTGGGCTTAGGTTCTTGTGGTACTTCAAGAGTTAATAAATCTGCCTTCCCCCCTGATCTCCATGATGATCGGAAAAATATTCCTTGGAATGAAGTATCTGGTGGACCTGCAGATTTGGCAGGAAAAGTGCTAGCAGTTCAGTGGCAGGATAATAGTTCTGTTCACATTTTGAGTACTATCCACACACTCGAGGAAAGGACTATTTCCTACCTTCTATTATGCCCACTTCCTACTGGTTCACAGGGCTACCGGCCGGGTTCATCACGAATATTCAGACAAGATTTGGCCGAGTCTCTCATTAGGTCATACGGCCAAAAGCCACGCTGACCACGGCAGGCGTACTACTCACAAAAGACAACCACGCCCCGCTACAGTGTTCTTCAGTATAAGACTTCACTCCCATCTCCCACCGGTAACAAGAATCAGCATAGGTTTACTCACATGGGGGGGTCTAGGGTAGGATGCACAGAGTGTCGATTTACTCTGCGCGGGATGAAGCAGAAAGGTGTGCGAGCACCACTCACACGCTATGGCTGTACAGGCCCGGGATGCGGGTTTTCACTATGTGAGAGTTGCTTCGATATTCGGCATAAAAAGATCTTAGTATAATAGCATTAAGCTGTACCTTTTCTCCTCTGTCTCCTTCGGCCCTGCTACTCATAATACTGTAAAATTCCAAGTATAACGAACACTATTGGGCTGGTCGTGCAGTGAAACCAGACTCTCCGATTGAATGAGCGCTCGCAAATAAGGCTTGAAACCTAAGCAAGTGTCTTTAACCGGCCTCTTGAACTATTCGCAGTGCTGTAAACAACTGCACGACTAGCCCAGGCATGTTCGTTATTCCTCCGATTCTACAGCTGAGCTTGGTATAAAGTAGGTATATCTGCTCGCCTACCCCGTGCGACCGCCATCATTTGATATCACTCGTATGATTCATAAGCGCCAAGTACCCTATTTTGGACTAGCACAGCTGGCAACGAATTTTACTGTTTCACACCGCCCATGGGATAGTATAAATCTCAACAGCTCGAGCTTATCCCCATGAGCCAAGCAGGCCCAAGTCCGTGGCCCGGCCCGACCCGAGCCGACACGTGCGTGGCAAACACCAGCTCTGTCTCCAATCATACCTCGGTGAGGGGGGGCTCACAGTGGGAGGCAAAAAAAAAATAACCAGCCCATTGGAGCAATAAATTTAGAAGCAGAAAAAACTACACCCGGGGAGAGGCAAGCGGCGAAACTCTATCCAACTTTGTGTTTTTGTTTTTCAAGGCAAGTGCCGCTTCTCGAAAGTTGATTCCAACTGCGGGGATAAGCCTTCTGGTAATGCTGGCGGGGGGGTGGGGGGGGGGTGAAACAAGCGCCATATTGACGCAGACACGATACAAGTACTGTACCCGAGTATCATAAGTCTGTCGAACCTCACCTTATTGGTTCCAGTCTTCTCGCCCACTCAGAGAACAGTGCCCGCTCTAGGCGCTATGATACTTCATATCTTAAATTCTATCCTAACTTTAGTCACAGGTACTGCGCCAAGAGTTCGACGCACCAAAGTGCGAGAAAATCCACCAATTGTATGCCCAGACAGCCTTTCGTACACGTAGAAACTAGACCTATGAGAGGAATGTTCGGCGGACTATTTTTTTTCTTTTGCCCACACCCGAAGTACCCTTACTCGCCCACCCGTGACGTTCTAGGCCCTCAACTCCATGGTCTCCGTCCCCCCCGCGCCGGCGAAATACAACACTTTTCACCGGCCAGTCTTTTTTTTCTTTTCCCTGAATAACGTTTGTAGACCTGATTATGGGCACTGCAAACCGTAACAAAGACAATGCACAACCTGTATTATTATGGTATCTCCGTGCTTTGATTCCTTTCTCGAGTCAGTGGAGCTCGAGGAAAAGCTGATACTGTATTACGGACACGATCCGCGTCAAGCTGGGTGCCACAATGATCTAGTCTGGATTCGGGGACATATGACGCACTCGAGTGATCGAATACCTCCAAGCCAAATCCATTCTTTTTATATAAGATGTTAAAAATTCGATCACATCCTGGGAAATATGATATCAGTGCCAAAAGCCCACAGGCAACTTTTCGAGACCTGATATCCATACGAAATGGTCAGAAAGGTGCGAAAATTTAATTATCACATCTGATATAGTATTCCATCCAATTGTCCGTCGGGGCGCCCAAGAAATCGGCGCTAAATGTCTCAGTTTGGAACTCTCTAGTATTTTATATCCAGTCAAGGAAAGATGCTTTCCAGATCTCGTTATCTTCTCAACCAGAGCTCTTGGCCGCGGCGCCCGATAAACTGAGGGATGAGATGGCATTTGACAAAGACTGAAAAATCTGATATGGTGGGATTTCGGAGCACAAGGTTTGGGATCGCTATCTCTGTGGCAACGGTGTTTACCGTTGGAACAGGTCAACCTGAAAAATCGGGCTTTCATAGATTCGCCCAAGAATTTGTGGTGAGGCTAGCTTGTTGCAGCAACATGAGTTCAGGTGAGACGATATTGTTTACCAAACCCAGAGAACCGGCAATCTGCTAGCTTAACTAACCGAACTTCAAGCATACTCGAGTACTTGTATGAACCCTAACCTGTGACCGTTGTGACAAGCTAGAACTAAACGAATTACAGGCTCCGAAATCCCTCTAATTGAGCCAGCTGCGATACGTTACTCGTCCAAGTCTCCATAAGTAGGAGCTTGTACACGTACATTAGTAGCTTGGCGTCAAAATTCGCTGCCCCACCCTACCACATACAAAGCATCACACATCGCAACCACCATGATAGATCCTCCTATCATATAACGTCCACCAAAACATTATGGCTGCCGCCTCTCCTGTTGGGGGGGCAGCAAATTTTCTAGCTAACATCATACCAAATCCTACCCTTGTAGTCTACAAGTTAAGTGCAAGAAGTATAAAGATAGGTCTCTTGTTGTGTATTTCTCGGTCTATCTGCCTTCTATTCATTGCCTTCGTGCCATCATTCAGGATTCCCCCATTTCGAACTTGGGTCCCACACCAATCCAGAATGTTGAAATCCATCATCTCACTCTTCCTTGCCGTTCATATGGGGAGTGCCCACTGGCCTGGCCACGAGCAGGAGGGCATCGCCCGCATCCTCGTTCGTCAGAACACGAACAATACGATGGCTACTAGGCCCCCAGCACCAGCGACAACGACTCCTACACTTACTATATCCCCACCCCCAAGTTCCCGCACAACCCAACCCCCAAGCCCTAGTACGAGCAGTCCACCCCCGCCCCCGAGCACTAGCACAACTCCATCCATAATCACCAGTACGACTGATTTATCCCTGCCCTCGATCTCTAGCACAAGTCGACCCACAAGCTCCAGTGCGATCAGTTCAACCCAGCCCACGATCACTAGCACAAGTCCACCCACAAGCCCCAGTACGACTGATTTATCCCTGCCCTCGATCTCTAGCACAAGTCGACCCACAAGCTCCAGTGCGATCAGTTCAACCCAGCCCACGATCTCTAGCACAAGTCGACCCACAAGCTCCAGTACGAGCAGTTTAACCCAGCCCACGATCACTAGCACAAGTCCACCCACAAGCTCCAGTACGAGCAGTCTATCCAACCCCCCGAACTCTAGCGAAAGCGGAACATCGTCTCCCAAATCCTCCAGCACACGCCCAGGCCCAACCTCAGTCCCCTGGGTCGACGAAGACTCTGTGGCACCGAAAGACGCGCGACCTATCAAGACCACCCACGGCTCCTTTACAGCCATCATCTCCAACAACCCTGTCATCTTGGACTACTCTGGTGAAGTCCTCCCCCTCCGACCCTTGCAATATGGTCACACGCCTACCCCGAGTAGCTTTAAATATGCCGTGCTTGCAGCACTTGCGGGGGATGATCAAATAAAACCGTTCGGTGACCTTTTGGCGCTAGCGCCATCCGTCTTTGAAGGCCTCGATGGAGGTAAGAAATACTACATTTTCGCACCCACTGCCGAGTCCATTGTAGAATTCCTCAAGGGTCACCAAGACGAACCAAACCGGCATGTCCGCCGCAAGCAGCTTGTCGACCCCTATACCAGGCAGCAGTTTGTAGAGAAGCCCGAGGAAGGGCCAGATATCAAGGAAGAGTCAAGGACTCTCAGGACGACATTGGTGGGCGAAACCAAATACGTGGACCTTGGGCCTGGTGAGGCAGCTCGTGTGGTCTCAAATCCCGTGCCCGGTGGGGATGGTAAAGTGAGAATCACCTCTGGATTTGGAAATTCAACATTGGTGTATGCTGAGGATATACCCTTTGATGGTGGTGTTATCAGGAAATGTGACGGGTAAGCGCACCACTCTAGACTGCTGTGAAAACAAGCCAATTAATATTCTTGAAGATTCTTTACCCTTCCGCGTGCGCTTGAAACTGTCTTTGCGAGTACCAATGGCGGCTTATGGTCTACAGCACTCGAGAAAGCCGGTATCTTGAGAGACCTGTCAGAACAACGGAAGGCAACAATCTTTACCGTGGAAGACGATAAATTAGATGAAGCAAACCTGCCAGGGAAGGCTCAACTAGACCGGCTCATTCACAATGGTCTTTCGTACGAGCCTGACTTGAGCAATGGCACTTGCTTGGGGACAAGGGGTGACAGCTCGTTGAGCATCATACGAAATAGCGATGGTATATTCGTCAATGGTGTCCGGATCACCAAGGCAAATGTTATTGCCAAGAATTGTGTCATCCATTATCTAGAGACGGTATATTGTACATTTTCTGCTTTTTGGCTTTCTCTGTACTAACTTGTATTTAGATTCCACCTATCGGGACATGTGTTCCAAATTCTGCAGGCTCAAGGGCGGTCATACCCAAGGTGGCTACCCTTGGCCTATCGGTTGCTAGCCTTGCGGCGTGTCTGTTGATGTAAGGACGCGGACTGGTGTTGGTGGATGATGATGCTGGCGATACCCTCGAGGCATGCAACAGTCTAGTTCAGGAGAATGCCCTAACAATTGAGGAGGAAACGCCGAACTGTATAGAAAGTCGATGCTCTCTGCGCCGGGATATCAGGGGCGGGGGCGGGGGCGTGCGGGACAGACGATGATAATGCGGTTGTTAGACTGTCGGAGAAGTTTTACAAAAATCTAATATTTTGAGTAATGGAGAACCTAGATCTCGTTCGTGTCCTTCCTGTACCGTCAATGAAGTAAATGGATATCGTACAACATCACTTCTTTTTCCCGAAGGAAAAGCCGAACCTATCTTCCCGGGTAAGCGAGATCTCATGCAAAATTGTAAAATATGATAATGACGAAAGGGGGTAAGCCAATTGCAGCAACTAATCTCATGAATTCTCGGCTTAGACCTTTCGCCCGGGCTGGGCGGCGAATTCCTAGAGACCATTCTTTTTGTAACCCCCGTGGCCAAAAGGTGGCTCGCTCACCCATACTTGCGGTACGCAAGATGTACAAGAAAAAAACCGAGGGGTTACGTTTTGTATAGGCGCTCAGTTAGGCACAGTTTTTCTGCCCCATATTTTGCGAATCCCAAGGCACGTTTGTGAACGTCGCATGCACTTTCAGTACCTGTTCAGTGGAGAATCTGATGTCTAGTGCTTATATTGGTTTCTGGATTGAGGACTTGCTCAAGGTCATCACCTACGTTAACAATTTCTGCATTAGGAGCCTTGGGTGGTCCGCATACCCCTGATGATGACAGCGGATTTTTTTTCTCGCTCCCCGGTTTCGAGTAGGGCACGCAATTGGTGGTAATAAAAGATTTCGTTCGATATGTGTATCCCGGCGTCATCGGAGGTTCGGGCTTCGTGAGGATCAGAATCAGTCAGATTCGGACAGTAAATCTAGAAGTTGGCTTGATGCTCATAGGGTGGATGGACATGATAGGTAGGGGTTGCGAACGGATGATGGAAAGTTATCGTTGGCTGTAAAGGTTTCTAGAGTCTGGTGAATCGCTAGGAGTGCGACCGATCATTCCAGAGCTTCAGTAACGTGAGGAGAGGATCCTCTAGATACGTCTTTCCTCTGATATCAGGGAGTCGACGCCGGAACCGAGACACAGAGATAGGTGAGAACCATGAGGTGAGAACCATGGAAGAATTAGGATGTCTTGATCATGATTTACCTACAGTATATCGTATTCCTCTGGCTTTACAGATGGCCCAATTTAAAATGGGACAACGACAAAGAGGCGCTGGAGGATACCTCTCATTTTACCCCTACCGGTACTGTACCTCCCCGCTCCCACTCGGGCTTGAGATTGTATTAAATTTTATACCATTGTTTAATACGATATAATACCGTATAAAAACCGCATTTTACCATAAATTACGTATTTTATTAGCCCCCTGAATGATCTTTTTAAAATATACAGAAATTGTAGTACAATTGTACAGTACAGCTAAGTAGATAAGTTATGATACCTATGATACCTATAATAGGAACGGAGATGTGCGAGGGCACGATACTATGATATAGGCTCTTTTGTTTGTTTTTTTCACCTACGTACTACTGCTTCCTTGTAACAATTCCTGTCCAATCCTTTACATGCCAAAGCAAATACCAACCCAGCGGGAGTTCCGAAGAGTTACGGGCACCGGTCCACCAAATGGGCACTCAGCCGAGGGTAGAAAAGCATTTATCAAACAGCTTTTCCAACTCAAAAGACCTTGCTCTGTACTGTGCTCGAGTACTGCCTTTTCACATACATAATATCATAATTGAGAAACCAACCGGAAATCCGACGCTCGGAAAAATGCCTCCATTCTATTCCTATGATACAAAATACGGTACCGTTATACCCCAGCATAGGGCACCACGAGCACGACATTGTATATGATATGATACCACCCCACAACCATCCAAACTTGTCCCGGCAAACAGTGATTCTACTTGGCCCGTTCGTCGACCTCCTTCTATGTAAACTCATACAAGCTACGCTATTCAGAAAATGCCTTGACGGTCAGAAACCGTATGATAAGGAAGGGGACAAATAAAAGGAAAAGCAGGGATTGAAATCATCACTTTGACAAGGTGAAGATAGGGAGCTGATAGTTTACCTCGCCCTCGCTCCTCCACTCGAGTAGAGTAGCGGCACCGGTACTTGTATTGCTCTCTGGTTGTGACGGTCGGGTACTGCGATGGTACTGTACGTTCAAGTAAGATTTATCCTTGCCTTTGTCTGGAAACCGCAATGGAATCATCCTGTGATAACTCTTTTTACTTATAGACCGGACTATCTAACTAACCCCTTTCAAGCCTCCGATCTGACGCTATTGTACGCTTCAAACCCCCAGGCCGCTTTCCTGCTTGAAGGTAACTAGCCTCATAGTCCTAACCAGAGAATGGCACACGCTAATAGTGGTGGTAATGGGGGGGATTGTTAGGAATACCGAGATCCGATACCTAGGAACCACCCTAGGTAGGGTAACCTCTCCCGAAATCGAAATCTCAGGTCTCCAACACCCCCCTCCGGCCCCCTGACGGGGCCCGCGCGTCACCATACATATCGATCTAAGTTGCATCCTGTGAGTATTATACCACAGGATCGAAGGTGTTAAAATAACACCGTATACGTCGCCGCTGTCCGTCCGGCCGGATCCTGTTCGCAGGATATATAAGAGGGGACCTTCGGCTAGGTCTGGGAAGTATAATGGAGTGAATCCGTCAACTACCCAGAAAGTTACTAGGCTTCAAGAATGAGATATCTTTGGCATAGGCCGCAAGTAACGGGACGTTTTCGCGTAAAGAGATGATAATGAATAGTAAAGGATCTTAATGAAAGACCAATACATTCACATCCACCCTACGATAACCAGAAGAGTCTGGAACTCCTAAGAATACTACCATCGAACCCAATGGAGTTCGAGGAGTGTTACAACTAGGTTCCGGTACATACTGCAACCGAGGGGGTGACTCCCAAACTGGTGACAGTAACCAGAATCCTGTTACCCACAGTAACCAAGGGTTACCAACCGAGGGATTATCTACCAACCTTATGGAAAGGCTTTCTGCAGGAAAGTAGGATGTCCTCCGGAAAAGATCTATCGGTTGGGTATGGAGTTATGAAGAGTTGAAGTTAGATGACCTGGAAAGTCGGTAATAACAACTATCTTCGCAGATGCAACCCGCAGATGAAACTGATCATTTCATCGACAAGGGAGACGATTGGAGCCAACACAGTTCGACTTGAGAATTGGGCCATTTGTCTAAAAAGACTCTCACCATCGGATAATTACTATTGGAAACAGTATGACTTCCAAATAGTCATATTATAATTATCAAAGAGGGTGTGATGATTTTCAGGGTCTCCAGGTGTTCGCACCTTGGAAGAAAACCCGACGTTGCGAGTTATATTGGAAAAAGGTACATGGTTGTATGTTAGTTAGATGTAGTCCGCGAACACTCAGACGTGGAATATAAATATCGAAGTGCCTCCCAAGCTTTAGACATCATCAAGCAACGGAGAAGAGACCTTAACAATATAATATTGTTCTTACGATTTTACTTTACTTTACTTTACTTTACTCCGCTCTTAGTAGTTATAAACGAAACGAGTGAAGTCTGAGCCTTCCTAGACAATCTCCGTCTATAAAAACGAATCTCTATCGGCCTAGACAACTCTGAAGTCTATCGGGTTGCCTCCGCCTAACAGGGATGGGGAAGAGAGGAAGTGGTAATGTTCTAGCATTCGAGGGATGGAGGGGGGGAGATAAGTTATCTACGATATACCGGTAACAATATGATGGCAAAGACAATAACATCGATACGAGGGCTGTCCAGCACCAGTTATGATATTACAGAAGTCAACCAGTAGTCAGTTTTGGTGCTCGTCACCGCACACACAGGCATCCCACAAGCTCTTGTTCCTGATTACCTACACATTGCCAAACTGCAAACCAGGACTTGACAACCCTCGCCATAGAAGAACGACAACATTGTATGACAGCCCGGTCCCACTCCGGAATTCCAAAGCCATTCAATACCGCAAGTCTATAGAACGGCGAACCAACTTTTCCCATCGTATATATAATATATAACAACCAACCAGCCATCGAAAACTCACCCACTCACCCACTCCTCACCTTTCGACCACCCGCGCCCTAGCGGCTGGGACGCGAGCCCGGGCATGCTGTGCGCTACGGAGCGTGGCGTGTGATGGGGGACGTTTGAGGGGTTATGATAATGGCCAGTCTGCTGAGGTAAGTAGGAAGAGAGGAAGGGGATACCGTATATCAATCAAAACGCGCCGGAACGGAGCGTGCAATGCGGACACGTATAGCCTCCCCTCCTCTCTCCTGATGGTGGAACGCTCACCTATGCATACCCTGCCCATCCCGCCTTCCATATCTGCCCACATCCTACCAGGAGGGCAAGAGAGCGGTCCTGCACCCGGCTTTCCCAACCTGACTCGAACCCATTAGTGTTTATATCCTAGCCCATAGAGATTTATGCAAAAGTCCTTAGCCGATACGGGTACTTTGCGGTATTTTTCGCGTGGTCGTGGGGCATGATAGGCATGATGAGTGGTACTGAGGAAAGTCAGGTTTGACTGCAGGTATCATTTCATACCGTGGTTGATAGGGTATGGCTTAGCGGGTTATGGAGTGAGCGGAGCGACATAGACGGGCAGGGTGGTACAGGATCCTACTGTAAATTACATTGCAGCAGCTACCGTTCCAGCGATTTAGCCTGGCAGACAGACAGACGGAAACTGGCGGGCGGGATTTGCCTAAGTCATCACGATTTCACCACGACAACTGTAGGTACCGGTATACTACCGTAATCTAATACCCCCAACAATGTCTACCCCCCTCCCCGCGCACAAAACCAAACACCTCGAAACCCTCCACTACCCAATCCCAAACACGCCCCACATCCTAACCCTAACCCAGACTCAATCCCCTTCCTCCTCCGCCTCCACGGGAACAACCCTCTGGCTCTCCTCGCAACTCCTGACCTACCACCTCCTCACCCTGTTCCCCCCGCTCCGCCACTGCCACCGCCACCGCGGTCGCGCAATCGACCTGGGCGCCGGCACGGGCCTAACCTCGCACATATTATCATACCTCGGCTTCCGCGTTTGCGCGACGGACCTGGCGCAGATCGCCGGCACGATCCTTTCCAAAAATGTGGCTCGGAATGAGGACCTGCTGGCCGGCATCGCAGGCACCTCTCCCATCTCTATCCGCGCGCTGGATTGGACGGCGCCGCTGCCCTCGCCACCATACTCCCTTTGGGGGGGCGGGGATGATGGGGAGGAGGTGGAGGTGATCGTAACGGCGGATACAATTTACAAACAGGACCTTATACGCCCGCTCATTCTTACGATTAGGGCTTTGTGTGTTTCCTCGGCACGCTGCGCGCAGGGCGGGAGTGGAAAAGAGGGGAAGAGGTTTCCACTAGTTCTAGTAGCGGTAGAGGTTCGGGATCGGGGGCTTTTTCAGTGCGCGTTAGAGGTCGCGGCGCAGGAAGGGTTCCAGTGTCGGAGGGTGGGGGATGGACGGGTTAGGAGGGGGTTGGAGGCTGCCGGGGTGCGCTGGGCGAGGGAGGAGTGGGAGGGAGGGGAGGTTTGGCGGTGGGTTTTCAAAGGGGTATGAGTGAATTTGATGCACTTTCGAAGAGAGCGGGAAGGTGGATCTAGTAGGCTGGGAGCTGGGTATATAACTTCTCAGCAAACACACGCCGTGATAAAGCACCCACATCACATCATTACCCTACTGTGCATATCAGGTGCCTACCAAGTAATACACCTATTCAACCCTACTCAATCACGAGTAAATCGAATGGACGAACATTAGCGCATGATCCCCACAAGCTCGCAAATCACCACACGCCATGACTGGCGCCGACACCGCGTACTCCAGAAACAAGGATATTGCTGAAAGAAAGGCAACGATCCGCTTATAACGAGCTTAGGGTGGCTAACATCCCACGAGATCCGAGATCAGAACTCCACTCCCCGAGCATCTTCCCTTCCACCAAGCAACACAGCCAGATGCCCCCGAAAAGCAAGAGAGAAAAAAAGTACAACAGACCTGTATAAAAAAAGCACAAACAGAAAGAGCCTTCAACCGTGACCATAAATGCCACCCCGCAGCCCACGCTTTCTCGGATCCACCGACAACCACCAAACAGAACCCTAGAAAATTACTAATGAACCACCAAATTCTAGTTCCAGATAGCGGTGCATTGCACCTCAACCCCTTCCTCCACCATCTTAATTACGTCCAACCCAATTTTCTCATCAACAGGCCCAACCTCAGGCACAAACATCTCAAAGCCGGCGAGAGTCTTGCCCTTCGGTTCAACAGCGTACCTACACTGAGTTACAATTCTATTCGCCGCGTCGAGAACCCTGGAATGGATTTCACCAGTGGTGAGATGAGTGCCGGATTTGCATACAATGAGGAGATGCTGCGGGTTGGCGTCGGAACCGTCGGCCCAGAGATCATCGATAGTGACTTTAATAGAGTGTTGAGGGATGGGAGTGTAAGCTGGTGGCGGCATCAAGAAGACCGGACGCTCAGGGGAGAAGCGAATGTAGACGATGTCCTCCGTGTTGACGTGGGGGGCCCAGAATGAAGGGTGGACTTGCAAACCGTTGGAAAGAAGGATAGTAAACTTGGAATTTTTAGGAAGACCGAGTTGGGTTGCGGTTTTGACGAGATCCTTATTACCAAGGCTGATATTAGCAGCTCAAACAATATCGGAGGGAATTCTAAGGGATACGCACAGCATAAGTAGCAATAGCCTTGCGTGGGACAGACCAATAAGTACTAATCTCACGGGCTGGAGGAAATTCACCCCGCTTCTTAGCAACATAGGTCACAACAGCGAGTTTATCTCTGGAGGCAATGCCGAAATGGTGGTGGTGGACCTTGCCGCTATTGTCGTCAATGTCCAAGACCGAGATAGTTGGAGTAATAGCACGTTGCGGTTCAATGACGGGGGATTGAAGGAGAGGGGTGGATGGTGGGGGATTAATTCCTGCAGTAAAGAATTCCATAATATCCACGCTAAACATGAAAGAATAGGTGGCCGGAAATCTTAATTTTTTTTTTTCCAGGGGGAGTAAGTTGTGGATAGGAAGCGATGAGTGGAGATTAATGTGAGTGTGGAGATTAATGATGGGGAAGGGAAAGAGAAAGGGAGAAGGAGGGGAAGGGGGGGGAGAAAAGGAAGATGGGCCTTTGGTGGTGGGGGAATATAAGGGCAACCTCCCTTCATTTTTTTGTAAACCCGCTTGTTTGTCCTAGGGAGTCAGTGGGAATAGAATTGAGTGTTTGGGTGTGCCATCGAGTGAGATGCTGTGGAGGGCTTCGTGGCCAGGTAAACGCAACACCACTCGCGGTTTACTTCCAGCAATTTTTGGAAGCTGAGTAGAACTAACTAGTTTGACATTCCCGCGGCGCTTGGCTTTGATAATGTTTTTACCGCCACACCACTAGTTAAAATGACAAGCAATTGAGCTCCAAATATAATATAAAATAGGAAAATCACAAACTACATTACAAAAACGAAACCAACCCCAAAAGCCCATATAACAATTCTCAGGCGATTTCAGACCACCGCGGCGAATTAGAATAGACAACCCCCAAAGAGAGAGAGAGAGAGCATACATATCAGCACAGAAAGCAAGCAAAAAGCTCCCCACACAAAGACCAAGCAGAGAATTGTTTCAACGGAACCTATCCGTACTCGAGTACTCCCACATATGCTCACCGAGCTCATCCCACGAATTCATCCCATTGTCAAACCCTCTCCCATTCCACACTCCCCTCACTCGTTCCCGCACTCCCACTAGCACTTCCGACCCCACCAAGTCCCATAATCGTCCCCTCCCTCTTTCCCCCATTCCCATTCGTTCTTGTGGAACCAAGCATCCACGAAGCCAGCCCGTCCGGCATAACCTTACCAAGCACTTCGTAAATCATGCTCCCGCTCCCAACCCTCCAAACCCTCCTCGGTTTCTCGTCTGTAAGTGCATCGAACACCGCGAGATGCAACTCCCTCAAACTCGATCCCTTGATTCCGGCAGGTCCGCTATTCCCACTCTTTTGAGACAGCGCAATGTAATTTCTCGCATAAGCGACGCGAGCAGGAGCAGCCCAGGATAGGATTTCTGCTCTGGCGGCGTTGATGCGGTCTTGTTGCTGGCGGGCCATCATTGCGCTACAATCGAAGGTTCCGAGTTTGAAGTGGCAGACGTCGACGCCTAGTGGCGCTAGTTCACGACGAAGGGAGGTGGCGAGGCCGCCAAGAGCTAATCCCGTCACCGTCTCCGGAGCATGGAAAGGTGGGGAGAGGGGGGATATGACGCTTGGAGTTAGTAAGAGAAGGCGGGAGTGGAAGTCACAGAGGACCCGGAGAAATGATTTTGCCGTGACGACCGTCGAGAGGATCTTGAGATTTAAAGTATCGGACCAGAGGTCTATTGGGATGGTCTCTACAGGACCAGTTGGATAGGTTAAATCTGGGACCAGGATCACACCAGCGAGGTTAAGGTTATGAGGGTGAGCCCCTGGGAAGGCTTGTGTCGGAGTAGAAAGATGGGAAGTGAATTTTTCCACAGCCGTTTGAGCATTCTCAGTCTGCCATAACTCAATTAGTAAGCACAGGCAGAACATTACCGCAGCAATCCAGGAGAACGCACATCAAGAATATCGATATTCAACGGCTTAATATCACTCCTCCCTTCATTCGCAACAACATGTTCATCCTCGATGCTATTAACAACAACATAGACGATAAATCCCCTCCTCTCCAAATCCAAAGCCAAACTTCTGGAGATCGGATCATGTGGACTCCCCCCAGCGATCACTACATCATCCCACAGTCCCATAATCAGCCAATCATCCCGATCGCAGTCCCATTCCAAGAGAAGAAAAGAAAAGAAAAAGTAAACCCAAATTCAGAAAGAGAACCAATTACCAACAACCTCCCTCCTCCCTCCATTGCCCGCCTTCTTAGCCCTTCTCTTCTTCTTGTCCTTCTTCTTCTTCTTCGAATACCCATACCCAGCAACGCCCACAGTCGCTGCAACCCCAACCGCGACCATCGCAACAGTCCACATATTCCGATTCCACCATCCACTCCTTCTTCCTGCGCCGACCGCGTTGAGCATTCTCTCGGGGACCGGCACGTGCCTAGGCGTGGGACGCGCGGACTCTGGAATCCATTCCGATTTCGAGAGGGTATCGCGGATGGTGCCGGCGAGCAAATCGGCTTGTTTATCAATTGCGTCGGCGACGACGAATGAGTAGGTTTTTAGGGAGTAAAAGAACTCGTTTATGGAGTCCGCTGGGTCTCCGGACATTTTCCTTTTGTTTATCTGCTTTTGTTTTTCTTATTGGCGGTAGTGGAAGGGAGGGGGTGAGGTGAAGGTGGTGATGAAAGTGGTGATGAAGGCGGCACTGATGCAGGAGGGGTAGATATGATTGATATGATAAGTTAGGATAGGCACGGACAAACGCGGGCCAGACCGACACCGCACAAGTGCCTGTAAGTCCCCGCAAGAATGAGGTCAAGAAACGCCAAGAATCCACAAATGGGGTTGACAAGGTTGATCACATGCAGCTCAGCCCATTCATTCAAAGTCACTCGGGGAGGGGGTGAGTAGATCCACTGTAATACAGTATAATACAAGATACGCAACCCCCGAAGAACCAGTTTGTTAGACATCATTTATCACTCCCTACCCCTTCCTTATGCCATCTATTATCAGGATACGCCTACAAAAAAAATCACAATGCGCTTGCAACAAAAACAGCAATAAAAAGAAAAGAAAAGAAAATCCAGAGAAGTTGCTGACTATTTCCATCCTTCATCCTCCTCGGCTCCGGCGAAAAAGAAATGAACGGAAAAAAAAAAAGTTTTTACTAGAAACAGCTAAAAGAGTATGAAACAAGAAAAGAACAGACAGATAGGGCATCATCTGTACAAAGAAACGAAAGAATAAAAAGTGTAAGAATGGTCATCTGGCCAAGAGTTTGAAGAAAAGAACATAAAAGGTAAAGATACACCCGAGACTTCAGACTATCAAGTCATGGAGAGAGAAAAAGAGTATGATTATAAGAATAAAAGTACTTCACGAGTACGTAAAAATGAAGGCCATACGGCAAAGAAGTAAAACAAAGGCGGGAAGAAGGAAGTCGAGGGGGAAAAAAGAACCCCCCCTCCCGTGAGTATATCACAAAAGAAATGCAGAAAGACCAATTAGAAACTAAGAATAAGAAAAACGCAGGGGAAAAGAATCAAAAACTTGCGATATTCAAACACATGTTCCCTTCATCGGGAAGGCATGATACGATAGGACGACAATCATTTATTCTTGCCGCCACCGCCGTTCTTCTTTACAGCCTTCTTTACAGCCTTCTCCTCTTCGTCAAGGTACTTGTCCTTCCAAATCCAACTATTACCGACCATGTTGACACCCTTAGCCTCAGCCATACGGTAGAATTTGGCGGACTTCTTGAGATCTTTCTTGCAGCCGACACCGTTGGCATAGCAGAAGCCTGCTTCAGAAAGCGCATCTGGGTCTCCCCATCCTACTTTAAAGTCAGTTGAATATCATGACCCAAGAAGGGGAACATACTGCCTGCAATCTCAAAGCATCTCAAGGCCAAGCCCTGATCCTTCTCAGTTCCCCATCCATTCATATGACTAACTGCCAGCTCGTAAATGCTCAACGCAAACTGAGCTCTTCTCCCCTTCTTTTCAATGTAGTCGACGCTCCCACCAGCCTGCTCATCATCTGCAACCTCGGAGCTCGCTAACTCTGTAACCTTCTTCAACCACATAACACCTTCTTTTTGGTTCGCTTTCATACCCCATCCATGGCGACATGCAAGCGCAAACAGGAGCATACCAGTTGGGTGCCCAGCATTTGCGGCAAGACGCAGGTGGTATGTAGACTCCTGTAGAGAGCCAGATTCATGAAGGTCAATACCAAGCTGTACATGTTCATCAGGCGGCATAGTAGCAGATGGAGGTTGTGAGCTATTAGAGCGAGAATTCGGGGCACGGGGCGAGCAAGGAGAAGTGACAGCAGCAGAACGTCCTCTAGTCTCCACCGTCGGTGTAAGAAACCCGATGCGAGGAGACAAGGAAGGTGGATGGCCCGTGTGTGGGGAATGCCTCGGGTCGCGAGGAGGCGGTGCTGGTTGGAGGAAGGTACGAGGTGGTGAAGATGGAGAAGGAGGTCTGTCGACAGTGGTCGTCGAATTTCCGAGAGGAGTACTAGGTGAATGTGTTTGTTGGTGGACAACTTGACTGGGATATCCAGCAGCGCCTTGGAAGATAACAGAGTTGCGTTCAGGCTCTCGACCACGAGGTAATATAAACTTGGAATAAATGTAAGTAGGAACAGGGCCCCCGGCGTCTTCAGTGAAATCCCCGGACATACTAACAGGCGTTGGCAAGGATTGCTCGTCCAAGAGCATTGGAGACCGTTCAGGAGACAGCCGCTGTGGAACATCCGGTGATGGTGAAAGTCGCTCAGATTCAAAAGAAGGCCGGGTACTAAGTGGCCGAGAAAAATTAAAATTGAACGTGGGTTTCTGAAGCAGGATACCCCCAACTGAGTGAACAGAAGGGGCATCAGATGTAAGGGAAGACTGGCTAGCGGAACGTGTCATGTCATGACTATCCGTTCCACCGTAGGGAACCGAAGGGTTGCGGGGTAGTGGAGCAGAAGGGGGGCCAAAAGTAAGAGAGGATTCTGCGCCAATTGAGTCGGGGGAGCTTGCTCGGAAATCAGAAATCATGGGGAAAATACTCGATGGTACTTGGGCGGGTGACGCTGTCCTGGGAACAGGAGCAAGTTGGGGCGAGTAAGATCTGTGAACTGACTCCAAAGAATCCGTCCTCGATGGCCGCTGAAATTCGACATCGCCAGAGCCTTGCCGGTAGGGCAGGTACTTGGTCACAGAATCATTCGAGTCTTCTCTACGAGGACTGCGAGGATAAAACCTGCGATCAGAACCCCTAGAGTCATTTCTGTGCGGATACAGCCTCTCGCCAGATGCTTGTCTCATAGGAGGGGGAAACTTCTCGGATTCCGCAGAACCTTGTCTTGAGGGCGCGCTATAACCTAAAGGGGAAGACTTGGAGTCCTGTCTGTAAGGCGTGTACGCTTGGGCTGGCTGGCTAGGTTGCGTGTGTGTGCCAGACGGACCGGGTGGAATCAAAACCGTCAAGTCTCTCGAATCCTTTCTCACTGGAAACTGTTGCTCTGCTTCCAGAGGCTGTCTGCCAGGAGGACGACGATTACGTGGTGGGGGTTGCGATCTAGATCTAGCATATTCGGACGCATTGCCCTGGCCAGCCGTATCACGTTGATCTTGACCCCTCCCTCGTTGTCTCTCATCCGGACCATATTGTCTACCGCCAGGCCCCGGGGGCCCACGTTGCCTCTGGCCCGGACTATGTTGCCTCCCATCGGGAACTCTCCGTCTGCCGTCTGGCCCTGGTGGACCAGGTGGTCCGCGTTGTCTTTCCCCTGGATTGCGCTGTCTTCCCTCAGGCCCCGACGGTCCGGTGGGCCCCAGCGGCCCCGATGGTCCACGTTGCCTACCCTCCGGAGCACGGCGTTGTGCGATTGCTCCCCTAGGCTCATTACCCACACGCGGACTGCCACGGGCACCAACACCCCCAGGCACAGACCCCACCCCCTCCGCTTCCCTCTGCCGCCTCTCGTCCTCAATACGCCCCACTATCACCGGCTTTAGAGAACTCCTCTCCACATCCTGCTCCCTAACCTCGAGCCGTCCCTGTATCTGTTGTAGGTTTGGCGGATCACGAACGGGATTCAAAAAACCGCTGATCAATGTGAAATTGCTATCCCTAACACTTGTCTCTCCCGACATAATACTATCTCTGTCCGACCTACCATCATCCGAAGTTGCACTAGAAACCGTGCTGAATCGAGGATAGGAAGACGTAGGCCTATCTTCAAGGGCTGGTGTAGAGAGCTGACGATCACCCATAACCTTTAGAATCGGAGTGGTAGCAGCACTAGTGGCAGTCACAGCGGTATTCCCCCACTGTCCCCCCTTCTCCACCTCTGGAGTCCTTCCCACCGAACGGGACCTCGCTAGAGTCCCCAGAGTTCCCGGGTTACTTCCTGCCCGGCTTAGAGAGCGGTGAACGGTCATTGGGTTTAGCCCGGCCGATCCAGCCCTCGCGGACCCCATCTGCTTCTGCAACATTCGCCCTCGATTAATCAGATCATCCAGAGGAGAAACCTGTGGCGTGTACTCGCCAGCGGCGTGGTTGGTTGGGGGTGGCATGTCCGTAGCCCCCCTGCGCAAAGATGGGCGGCCCTGGAGAGGTTGCGTTTTGGCGGTATATAGCGGTTGCCGGGTTCGCCGCAGCTTGAACAGAATCCACAAAAAGGGAAACGAAGGGAATGAACTAAGGAAAGAAAGGAAAATAGAAAATGTACAAGAAAGGAATCGAGCCCTAATGACGGTAGAGTAGAATTGTAACAAGACAAGTCTGAAAGAATGGAAATCTAAAGTTGTTCTTTGGTAGTTGGTTTATGTTTAAGGTTTAACGAGCGTGTGCACGATCCCTGCCAGATCGTGAAGGTTACAAACAGAAGGTACTATGATGGCAGAGCGACCGCATTGCAGAATAGAATGAAAAAGAGAAGGGGCTTCAGCGCAGTTTGCTGCGAGGTGAGGCTTCAGATTCCAATCGAGAGCCGGAGGTACTAAGGAGCTACAACGGCCGCTGAGGTTGCAAAGGAGCGTGAGAACAGAGCAGCACAGATGGCGGAAGCATCGAAAGACGCGATAGTCAGATCAAAGGAGTGTATCTAACGGTGCCCGCGCCGTGGTTGGAAGGAATGCGTAGGACGGGTAGGGAAAGGAGGAGAGGAGAAAAGAGGAGAGGGAAAGGAAGAAATGACGAGTCGTGTGTAGTTTGCCTAAGGAGGGGCGTAGAGAGAAGGGAGGTTGAAGGAGAAGTATGATACGGTACTTGCACAGTACTTCTAGTTGGGGGGTCGGCCACGGTAATCACTAAGGGTACCAGGGTGCAACTCCTTCAATGATGGAGCAGATTGCCATAAGTATTAGGAGCGAACCGACTGGTGCTTGGAGATGGGAGACGAGAAGCAAAGAAAGATTGACAAATAACCAACCAACCAAGTGGTTAGGATACGTGCAGAAGTGTAAGGCAATGTGTGTCCCAAGGTACAGTACGATGAATGAAGCACGAATTGAGTGGCCAAGAGAGCCCGGGAGGACAGAATAGAGGGGGATGGACCATCATACGGGGGAGCGAAGGGGAAGGGAACTCTGAAATGGAGGGCAGCAGGAGCAGTCCAGGGTATGATACCATACAATACTCCTCGAGAGTGCCAGACAGGTAGGATTAACCAGCGCTCTCCTTCTTCTCCTGCAAGTCAAACGGCTAGACGCCGTACCTGTATCTAATAGCATTGGTAGAGCAGGGACCCTCCCCGTCGTAGGAGGTTACAAGAAGAATTATTGGCTGACACTTTTATTTGCACCAAAAATTGGAACATATGTACGAGTAAACCGCCGCAAGTACTACAAGTAGAGAGTACTGTACCCGTACTCGAGTACTCGAGTACCGGTGAAATGGGCGGCGCCCGGGCTAGGAAGAATGAAAATTAGGTTTTAGTACTGTACTGGTACAGTACACACCAAGCCAATTTTGACATTCCAACTCCATGCAGGCTGCGAGCCCGTAACTTGTAAAAACACCTTAAACAATGAGATAGGGGGCCATCGTGGCATCTCAACCAAAGCTTTGAGCCTTTCCCATGCTCTTGCCACTGATACCTGGTTAGGAAAAATAAAATAAAAAACCACTCGAGGATGTATACGATATCATGCCTACTTTACCCCCCCCCCGTAAAGGGGATAAAATTCAGGTTTAGTAAATTGGCGACCGACTAATTTACTCCTATCAGTTACGGTACCCAATCCAGTGCACCACCACACCACACACTAAGCACCGGTACTCGAGCACACTCTACATCCTGTTTGGGTCTCTCTTCCAGCACCCCGTTTCAGAGAAGGAAAGGAGCCAGGGCCCCTCCCTCATCCTCCTCGTTCGTCTTCTTCCCCCTCAGGCATTCACCACCATCCAAACGTGAGAACCTAGCAAGAGTATCGTCACATTTATTTTTAAAACTCACCTTCGCTTAATACCGCTATTCTGACGATTCACCCCAAATATCCATACTTATTGAGGAAAGCCAGATCCGCCCCCAACTAGAACCAACGTTTCATTCTCTACGGGAGGCTTGTCATGTTCCGTAGATCAGGGTCCTAATATTGTAGACATAAGACGAAAAGAAGGAAAGAAAAAAAGAAAAAGAAACTCAGATCACCCGGTACTTTCCAACCGGGAGACCAACCGGGAGAGGGTGTACCAGTACAGTACTAGTACTGTACTCGTACTTGTATGTGCAAAGGGGCAGGAAAGAAAGAGAGAAGAAAGCGTTCTCATACTCGAGCCAGGGGGGGGATACCGTACTCGTACAGCAGAGAGGAGCAGAGAAAGGTGTCGGTAGTAAGCGGAATTTTTTCCGTTAATTTTGGCCCGATGCTCAGGGGTGTACAGTACTCGAGTATTGAAGGATTTTGGGCCGCTCATGGCGCACAAAGGTGGTTGGGAGGAGAGGGTTGTAGCGCGCGTGGTTACCAAAAGTGGTGCCAGGGGAGAGGAAAAAAGGGTCCCAATTTCGTGCAGAACCTCATCTCATGTACTCGAGTAGTCTAATTGGGTACAGTACAGTGCTCGAGTACTCATTTGCAGTTGTCCATTTCCACAAGCAATATGGCTGACCGGGCGACTGCACCCCACGTTCGCATCAGATTGGAACCCAGGTGTGAGTACCGGTATGCTCTTGGGACTGATCTGATCACAGAAGGCCGTTAGACTAATTTGGGGGCCTGGCGGGATCCGAGGGA